TATGTTCGCATTACGTTCACTTTCTTTTCAAGAAATTTTCTTCCTCGATTTTACTTGCACATGAGAGTGTACAGTAATGAACAGACTAATGAACACCTCATCTTCAATAGGAAGTTTTGTACGACTAATTCGCATAAATCTTTCGTTCGACAAGATCAACATTGTCAAATTATGTTTGGTCGAAACTATTGATATAGAGGGTGTCGAAGAAAGTGATAACTTCAGGAAACGTAACTTGCCAAACCAAGCAAGAAAATGATTATAATAATTGGAAAATGGAATTGAAATTAAAAAATCAGAAGAACCGAGACACACATCTTTAACCAATGAATGATTGTATATCCTTCTTTTCATTTATATCCAATAAAATTTATTAACGTTGAAAATTTAATTGTATCATGATTTTCTAAATTTCTCCATTCTTTCTCTAACACCCAATATATATGTTCATCGAGAAATATATATTTTTTTGTCGATAGTTGTACACATAGTTCAAATTTCATAGATTCGATCATTAGATTTAAGATAGTATCTTGTTAGTTGAATATCTTAATAACGAGATTTAAAATGTATATTAAAAGGACAAGTCGCAACGGACGAGTCCTTGGCTATTTTATTCGATGGTCTAACTAAAAACGAACCGAAATAAAGATACACACACAGGAATCTATCTTCACTCATAATCAGTTCTTACCGGTGTCTTTTTTTTTTTTTTTTTTTTTTTTTTTTTTTTTGATATCTGCGCAATCAAATTGAATCTCAATTAAATGCATATTTCTGTTCCCTTTATAAAACTACATTTACTTAACTATATAGATCACATTCGAAGAAACGTCTTTCTAGAATAACGCGTCTATTAAATATTCACCAGAAGATAAATAAAGAAGAAAGAAACAAACTGAATCAAGTAACATCGAAAGAGAACAAATTCTACTGATATTGACGATACTTTAATAAATAAAATATAATAATATCCTGTGATGAATAAAAATTCGAGAAATATCCAAATAATAAATTAAACGATCTACATTCTAGTAATTACTATATAAAAAAATCAATCAAGTTATATTAATGATTCGAAAAGAAAAATAGAACGTAATACGTAGGATTCAGGAAAAAGGCAAGGCACTTGGAGACTTGCGCTCGGCCAAGTAATAATTCGAACTCGTATCACCGAAAAGCAAGTCCCTGCGCCATCGAAAATGATCTCTCGATGTCTTCTTACTTCTTCCCACATGAATCAACTATTTATAGAGTCGCTACGAATTCCCACTCTCGTCTATTCTAACTTCGATGCGTGTCCTCGAACACTTTCTTCTTTATTATCTCCTTTCTTTTCCCCCTTTTTATATCGAAACTACAGTTTCTTGGGCAGTTAGCGACACTTCTTGGAAGTTTTCTCGCTACGATTCTCCAGCGAGTAAAATCTTGTGATTCTTTCA